GGACCATGCCAGAAATATTAAAGATCTCGATAATAGTATAAAATATTAGTCAAATTAAAGACAAACACATTTAGAGTCTTAGAAAAACGTAACGTACTAGAGGCAGTAAATTTATGCATCACAGTAGTCAGACACAGATACTTATACTGTAAGTAGGGAAATCATTTCAATAATTCTTTCATAAAATGTAAAGCCTTATCTCTCCCTGTTTCTTATTTTTTAAAGTTGGTAATTATTAAAAATTACGTGCCTAGTATAATTAATGTTTATATCATTTGTGGTACATTTTTATTTAATATATCAGTATAAAACGATTCAACGATAAAAGTTAATTCTCGTTCTTATTTGTATGACATCGGTAAAGCGATTAAAGCCATACATTTGAAGATAATCCACATCGATATTACTGAAGTATGAAAATACTCCGCCAATATTAATCTAAACCAAACGGAGCACTCCATATATAAAAAAAAAAGAAGAAAATCCAATGCACCGTCAATCATTAAGCCACTATCCCACTGATTTCCAATACAACCATTCTCGCATTCGAGTCTGTAACCACACCACATACTCAAAACTGTCAAACCTACCTCACGCTGCAACTGTGAAAGCACGAAAGAAATTTCGTCGTCTGACCCGCGGTCGGTTATTTAACAGTCGAACGCATCGACTTTTTCGGCAGCTTTAACCACAGAGATGACAGTGAAGCCGGGCTATCGCTTTCCAGCTCCGTTTAAAGGAATAATTGGAAGAAGTGTATTTTCGAATAACGCGGGGCCACGCTTGTGGAGGATCCGCGCATGGAGAAAATTAATATCGTCGCTGGGGTCACGGTGGACGTTTTCGATGAAGCGTGCAACTGACAAGTGCACTCTGGCTTTTACGGCACGCGACGTTCCAATACGTGGTTCTTGTGCACAGTTCGTCGATTATTTTTCCCGGGTTATTGCTCGATATCTGTGAAAAGCTGCTGGCGCTTTCACTGGTGGCACGTGGTCACGCGCGCGCGATTTCACGTAAAGCGGCTTTCCACGGCGCACAATTTGACGAGCATTAAATCCTCCGGGCCAGACTTCGTGGCGCTGATGAGATTCCGCACGTTCATCTTTATTAATGGACAGATCGGCGATAACGCGCGTTGCCATCGCGCAGCGACTATCCGTTACACGCACGATGCGCTGTCCCGCTCGATGGACATCGAGCTGTAGATTGGTTTATTGATTAAGTGAATGGATTCTCGGACACCAGTGATTTAACCTCGCTTAGATTGTGCTTTCGGTTTATGGCGTTAAGTTGTTGCTACATGTACTATGTATACTGTGCTAGATCTTGGCGTTATAGGTGAGCACTTCGGTTTCGATTTGGGCATCGTTTGCGTTTCGGTATAACGTTTATTGGTATCCTAAGTTGAGTCATGTACCTTTTCATTGAATTATTTGAGCAAACAGTGATTAACGGTAATGTTCAGTTGAGTCGTATACATACGTGTTTTATTATTTATTCAAGAAGTGTTTGCTTAGTTATAATAGGATAATGGGATAATAGATATAAATAAATGGAAAAGTAGAATGAGTTTATGTTGATAATTTGTTGATAATTCTGTGTTGAATTGTATACGTATTATAATGTCATTATAATGTATACAGTTATAATGTCAAATTATTTTTTAACGTATAACAATGATACTGACGTATTGATCTAACTGTTCAATCAAATTTTATATTTTATTAATAAGCTCTTAAAAATTGTTTTAAGTGTTTCCATTTAAGATAAACATTTATGATACGTGATTAAACTAAACATCTCATAGATGCAGAAAGCAAAATAAAATTGTAGAAGGTGTGGGAAAGAATATTGATTTGAGATTAGCTCTCAGTATCCTGTTCTGTGCGTTGGCATAACGTGAGTACTAAAGATACTATTTAATGCTATTACTTCAGTATACGTAACAATCACACCGATGAAACGGATTTCAAACGAGCTTATCAAATCAGTAGATATGATGGAAGATTACCGTAGACTGGCACAATCAAAAGCGCTTATCGATATACTGTGGTGGTGTAATAGGATTACGATACTACATTGATGTGAAACATTCTTCCTTTGCCGACCTGTATGATATGAAATGCGTCCGAAGTATTTCCTAGTGGTCTTTGTCGCATCGTAACAATGTACTTTTACCCGGTAGATAAAACGATGTATTCGAAACCAAAGGCTTTAATAATTCATCCCTATGTGTATTTCAATAACAATTTTTTATACTTTTTTTTTATATATCATTGTGAAACCAGTAATTTTTATTTCGATATACAGTAACTCACGAAAATATTTGAGCACCTTTTACAGCAAAGTAACTTTCGTAAATTGGAACGAACGATTTAAGTTTTCTTGTAAAGTTAGGTGGGTTAGTTTACTAGATAACGGTTAAAAAAATTTTGAAAAAATTGGTCAGTATCGGCAAGAAAATGGTATAGGTCAAGTTTACAATTTTTTTAGTTGAACCTGTACTGAACATTTAAAAAATACATTTTTTACATTTATGTCAGTTACATACCTACATACTGAAAATGTCATCGAAATCGTTTAACGTTGCTTTAAGGTACAAACGATTGAAAATGGTGGAAATCGCCATTTTTCACAAATTTGAGCCTATAATTGTAATAAATCTAAAGATTCTTTCCTGCATAAACCAATTTCAATGAAGCTTTCAGTATGTATACAACTGACATAGATGTACAAAATATATTTTTCAAATTTTCATTTTCAGGCCCAGATAAAAGAATTGTAAAATTGACTATTATTATATATTTTCTTCGCGATTCTGACTACTTGCAAGTTATTCAAAATTGTTTCTGCACATCATCTAGTAAATTAATTCGTCTAATTGCTCAATAAGTCACTGTATTCTAATTTTCTATTATTCAGTTCATATTGCAATTCGTTATTAATAATAATCCTATGCCGTAACATTGCCTATTTTCTAAAATATAAAGCACCTATAATGAATATTTCAGACGAGCAAAATATATTTTTAACATATTGTTAATACGATAAATACGGTTAATACAGTAATTAAGCGATTCTCGTTTTCCGTTAAAACAATAGAAACAGAATCAATATTCAATTAAATGTGTTACAACTTCTCATCCTACGAACAATTTGCTCCTGAACTTCCTAGCAAGTAGGTTACGTTTTAGTCCTTCGGTAAAGAAATTTTATTTTATTCATCAACCCGGTAAATTGGACTTCGAAGATCGTGAAATTCCGTTGCATTTCGTTCCACGGACAAATATTTGTCATGAAAGCAGGTCTTTGCGAATGCTGATTTCTCTTCAGAATTAGATTTTATTTAAATTTCATTTTGTCTTTTATTTAATACATGCAAATTTTATTCTAACTACGCTGCTGATTAAGTTGTATAATATCTTATTATTTCCGATATCAGAATCTATGAAATGAAATAATTTAAAAAAATATTTTGTACGTGGAAGCTCTATTTCTATATATCTATAGGTAAAGCAACTAATTTTTTCATTATTAGAATTATCTTAAAATATAAAAAATATATAAATATACATATAAATAATTAGAAAAATATGATAAAAATAAAGTGAATGTACAAAATTACTATTTGCAATTGATCTGGCCATTGCCTTGACTGTTTATTTTAGTAACATTTGTATATTCAATCAATTTAAAATAGTAACTTTAAGTACGTGATATAACTGTTAACAATTAACTTGCTCCCATAACAATATAAACTTCAAAACGCAAAAACTTGTAGTTGCTGAAGCGCGAAGCTGCACATTCTAATCCTTAAAGGTTTCGAACAATATGCTCTAAGTATGAAGTTAGATGTATAGAACTGAATCCATAGATGTACCTTCGTCAGAGCTGCGTTAAACTAATGGCACACTAACTTAACACTGATCAAGTAACACAGTATCGTACATAATGGGGAATTTATGAGAAACTGATAGGGGTATGACAGTCTATAGATCTACATTTGCAACATTGGCTACGAGATCCATAATGGAGTTTTTGATTTCTATCTTTCACATTGAAAATTAAGGTAAAATTTGAATTTTCGGTATTTGATATCGCTTTATCAAATTCTAATTAATTCTAATTCTAATTAAATTCTGATTCTAATTAAATTCAATTGTCAATGAACATTAATGGATAAATATTACACATGTAATACATGTAATTACCAGTTATTTATATTGTTCGATTTTCATGTTTGGATTTTATGAAGACAAATTTTCCATTTAGATTATCTGCAGTTATTTCAAGAAAAACGACTTGCAACAATGTTTTCTTTTAGCAGTTAATAATGATTTACTATTAAATTAATCCGAAACAATTATTAAAATTCATTTGGTCGATCACGCAACCTCAATGGACACAATAATGAAATACAATATAATCGCATTACCAATACCGTGCGAAATCTCGTATTGAAATACATTGAAAAATTTCAATAAAATAAAATAGAGTTATCACATATACAAGGTGTACAATGTTAAAACATTATTGCAATTAACTTATAAATCGCTTACTATATACTACAACGTTTCATTCAAAAATTGAATGGTATCCAGGGCACCATAATACGATGTTATGGATGAATGATGTGGACACAAAAAATATACGGCGATCAATATCGTCTTTCTAAATGGAATCCATATATTCTTGAATGCACGAATAATACATTAAAATCAGATTCCTACAACATCAGTACCCACTATACCATAAAGCATAGCAAATTTGAATTCGCGATTCGACGTAAAAGCGTAGCCAAAACCCTTCATCACAGGTTCCGAGTACAAATCGTTTCCCAATCGCGAAACAAGATCTCTCGACTCGATTCGAACAAGGCGAGTGATATTTCTTCGAGAGTTGCGACCATTTGATCGGAGTACGGCTGCAAGCACGCCGTAAATTCCGAGTCATAGCCAAGAACGTGCTCTTAACACGGTAAATTCATATTTTTCCAGGGATCGATAGATCGCCGACGATGCGTAGACCGAACACCAGGCGAGATTCGAAGAAGAGTTGGAAGATGGATCACAGTCACGAAAGGAACACGACAGGCATGAAGGACGAGCCAATGCTGAAAGGCGTCGAGAACGATGATGAACAGGTTGATTTTCAATCGGCCACTGCCTCGTCGTACTTTCACTGCCATTTATTTGCGAATCTTGGCATCGCCGCGATTACTGTCATCTTAGCCGGTGGTTTGTCGACGTAGACCATTCTGTGATCGTTATTACACCTGAAACTGATTAATTCGCGTCCGGATGAGTCTTCAGGGTCACGCTAGTCACTTACAATATACTAGCTACCAACCAGATTGAGATTGTAATTGTACGAAGTGCATCGAGGACCAGCCAGTTAAATGTTTCTTGGACTTTTTGTCTAAGTGAATTCTCACAGATTTGAATGGGAACGTTTTGGAAAAAGCGTATTCTAACATCAAGACTTTTCAGAACATAGTGGACGCTTGGGACAGTTCACTTTTTTTTCGAGAAGATTTTATTCTTTCGTTAATCCTTTAGCTGCGGGAGAAACACGTATACGCTATGAGGAAACGGCTGCAGATTTATTGCAGACGTATAATATCGACGAAAAGTTTGGATGTACTAGATATATACACGTATTTTTCAAGGTGGTAAAACTTTTTATATTTTCTTTTTTTTATAATCTACGCTGATTCAGAAAAGTATTTGGACGCTTACTGTAGAAAACCTTTATGCCGATATTATAAATATTTTGAATTTTCAAATTCCACTGCAATGAGACACGACTGTCATGATTATATTGGTAAAATTTTAAGCGAATCTGAAAATATGCGTAGAAGTAGTGCACCTGTATATTCCGCAGTGTTCAGAGAAGTATTTAAACAGTCAATTATCCATCATGTTAATAAACCATGTTAATCTACAGAATAACAGAAGCTGTTTTCTATGTTTATCATCAGTATCAAAGATAATTGGATAATTTAAAAAATCATATTACATCCAAACATTTTGCCATTATTATTTTGCCGCCAATAATTAAAATAATAATGTCATGAAAATATATTATTCGCGGAAAACCTTCTATTGACTTGCGAGTATGTCGTTCTCGATTTTATATTGGATTTCAGTTCAGCCACAGCTAAAGGATTAAGAATAGTTTTACCGGCGGACAAATTACTCAATAAAACTGCGCGTTTGTTTAAAACAACGGAGCTTGCTCTGTTTCTTCTTCCATGTTCTATCAGAATTTAGTAACAGTCCGAGTATACATTTTATTTCGGTTGAATAAACATGTATCGATGAAACGTTGTTAACAGTTAATTTTGTTAGAATAAAAGAAAGTGTTGAAGACAAAGTTTTCGTACAGATTCGATTCTTGGTTCAAAAACTTCGAGAGGATATCTTCAAAATTTCTAATTTACGTATACTGTTATTTGTTCTGAAATAACTAAATCGATTGGACTCAACATATTATATTTTCCTACGTTCTATTATAATTTATAATAATGCTTAAAAATATTATGTGATACAAAATCTTAAGGAGAAAAGCTTTTATGAAGTCTTCGCCTGTATTTACTTTTGATAGATTTTTATACATGTAAAATTGTTTATAAAGTTGTTCGTACTCTTATTATAGCATTTATTAATTTTAAGATCGAAGTATTTATGTAATTTATATTTCGAACGTTTTGTAAGTTTCCATTGTAAAAAACGCCGACACGAAGCGAGTAGTTTCTCGCGAATATGTAACGCTTGTACCTAACCTACATATGTATATGTAAATATCAGTTTCGTGACGTAGCGACATGCCTTTGCTTTACGACAATAATTTTTTCGATTATATTATAAACGAAGCCTATTATTTGTAACACGCAACAGTGTAAAATTCATTCCTAAATTCGTAAAACCATATTCTGGTCGCATTATAGTATCGCATTAGTGTCGTTCATGCCATATTTTTAAGCAAAACAAAATATTTAAGAATGTAAAATATTTAAGATTATTTAAATAATTTATTTACTTAATTCCTTCTTTCCTTATAAAGCTTGATTTCTTTTATAAAATTTCATTTTAAATTAGTATGTACATACGGAGAACTCGAAGAATAAATAGTATAATTATTTAATTATATTGCTTTAAATTATGTTAGAGACTTATTTCAAGTATTGCATACTGTTTGACTGATTCTAATTCCATCATAAACAACATAAAAGTATTGAACACAACATTGTTGAAATTTTTATAAAGATGTTATTAATGTTCAAAAAGAAATGTATATCATGTGTCATGGTATAAGTTGTTAGTTATCAGAGCAGACATAGTTCAAACATCAAATTTTATTCATGCAACAGAGTGATGATGATAAAGTGGTTCTGAAGTAGATGGCTGATTTAGGAAGGTTTATTCCACTTACATTAATAAGATTCAATATTTCGCATTTTATTTAAAACTTGCGGTATAAATTTTAATAATTCAGTAATAATCAATATTGTTTTCAGCTATTATAAATATTTACAATCAGTATCTATTGAAATTATAATTATTTATGTTTCCTTCACGCGAAGAATTAAAGATTTTTCAAATATTTAGTACAATTTTTGAGTAATTTCTAACATAATTTTGCAAGAATAAGTATTATGCAATAACCATAAAAGCATAGTTTTATCGTGCTCTAAAATTAATCGTTTCAAGTAGCGAAGGCTTTCTATGGTTACATACATGCGATAAGTTTGTCCACTTCAAAGATAAGCAACAAACACAATTCCAAAACTCGACCAGCTAGTTCAGAAACACTGTTTGTTCTCTACATTCCTACACTTACATTTTCGTAATGGGTACAAATGCAAATGAGTTTATGAGAGAAACTGTGACCTCACTCCCTTCCAACAGCTTCATCGTTCCATGAATGCGTTCACAAGTACCCAATAGTTAACGATACGATTATCCAAAATAGTACGATACTGATACAATATCGATTAATGTACCATAGGCACGTACTGCTTACCCGAGCAAAAATGGAGTTTCCAATGCATATGTTCGAGCATATAAACTAAAAGAAGGCTGGTACACGATTATTCTTCCTTTAATTGATCTAATTATTTATGACGACAGAAATCTCAATCATAACCAGAGTTGCTATTTTATTATATTGTAAAATTAGAATGTTATGAATTGTGATTTAGGAATTACAAAAAAAATTCAAAACAGACAAAAATTATGTCAATTAAATTTTGTCTATAAAAATATAAATTTTTAATTAACAATAGATTATTTCTGAAAATATTTACTAGAAAAAGCTTAAATTAAGAAAATTTAATTTAAGAAACAATAGAAACAAAAACACATAAATATATGTATATGTTATTGTTACATCAAATCGTCAGAGCTTTTTATTAACTCATTCCCTTCTATCAACCTGGAGATATTTCAAGAAAAATTGTATCTGTATACCCATTTTCATTTCTCCTATTTATACTAAAATTACATATCGTAATTAATTATACGAAGTTTTTAAATGTTCATGTGCATATTTTTTGTATTATCAGAAACTACTCGTAATATATGTGTATAGGAAAGAAATCTTCTCAGTTCAGAGGGAATAGTTACAAAAAGGTTAAAATCCAGATTTATCTTGGATTTTGGAATCGGAGAAGTGGCACTTGTGATTGTTAGACTACAGATTGCTTTATACAAATTCATATTTTTATGAACAACATTGAAAAAAAATAACAAACAGAAATTTGTCTCAGAGTATAAATAATATAACTTTATTTTAGATATTTTATATATATTGTTAAGATTTCAATTTTTCATGAATGTAAAAGCCAATCCACATTAGAAAATATCTTACAAAATTTTTTGTTTTTCCCTGTTACATTTTAAATTCAAGTAACTTGATCTTTGCTCGGTAAAGCAATACACATTGATAATCCGAGTAATATTTTAACGTACCTCGACCAGTGCATCGTGCATTCCTTCCATTCCTCGAGTCGACGTTCGAATGATGGTAAATCGGCGCAAGTAGAGCGAATTGACCTCATAATCCGCCTGTACACATACTCTTAACGTTGACGTTGCTTCTTGAACGCGTGTTTGGCGATCATCTTTCGGCCTTAAACAAAAAAGTAATAAATCAAGGATAATGAAAGAAACGACGAAACTGTGCATTATCACATCGTTCTTTCTAGCCCAGCTTTCAACGATTTCTCGTTGTATGTAATATATAATAGAATGTGTGAGAGCTAACGTGATCTGTACGCGATATGGATCGTTGCTTTCAACGCATAGAATTATACGTGGTATATTGTAAAATAATAGCGTGTGTACGATAACGTGTAGACTAAGCCTCAGGGACATGTAAATATGTTAAGCTGTAAGACGATGTCGTGTTAGTTTTTGCATTTGTGATCACATTGCCACTTTTCCTCTCCATCCTCCATCCCGTGTAAATAAAATGTATTCTATCGTGTACTTGGGCAATAAATGTTAGACAATCGTACAATCCATGTCTTTGAATTATGTATATCTCACGGTTTATGTTAGTTTTGAGTTATTTGTACGATAAATACGAAGAATCATCTTTCGAACGCTTTGAAGAGTATTTTTGCAACTTTTTTAAATCTATAAATGGTGTACGAAATTTTCGAATTTTATCGTTGGAAAAATGTTAAAATATTTAGTTTCGTTGTTTGTTCGTATTGCAAATGGGAGACTATAATAAGGAAAGGTGTCTTATATTTTGAGGGTAAATTTCGTGGTAAATTATTTTCATAATTGCATGTAAGTTGATAACTTTTCTGTGTCACAGAGAAATATAGTATCAAATAGTAATATTATTATGATACTGAGTTCTGCACTTTCACGTAATGCTTCCTCAAAGTTTTGAACAAATACAGAGATTAAAGAGGAATTTTTATTTTCGTAGGACTCGAATGAATCTTAAAATATACCATACCAAAAATAAATGGCATTATTCAATTATTCTAACTATTTAGTCATTTATTTAGGAAAATAATTAGTTGCAGATATATAATTGTTTGTTTTAAGTCAGTGCATAATTATGGTGAAAGAATTGGATACATCCTTAAACATGGTTATAATTTAGTTTAATTTTACAATTCTTTATGTTATCTCAAACAGAAGATATAAAATTATTTAATGATAAAGAAGTAGAGAAGAAGATAAAGAAGAAGTGAGTATTGAAATTAATTAATTAATTAGAATCTGAATGTATTTAGACGACTCGTAGTATTCTACC